GCATGCCAATTTGTACGTGTTTGTCATGCATTTGAAGGGGAGGCCTTCACCCTGTGTGAGAAGTGACCTGTGATCTTCTAGAAGGTTTGCAGCAGACACAGGAGATCAGGAGGCTCAGCATACCAGCTGGTATTCTTTGAGGAACTCAGTCCAAGGGCATCCTTCACCACCAGGTGAAGGAGGCAGGCCAGACAATAAACTCTTGTGATTCTCACAGACTCCTCCACTTCTCCAATGTTTGCACCACCATTCATCACCAAGTTGCCTATGAAGACATCTCTGCCTACTGAATCCCCTAACTGCTGTTGGATGGTGGCAGAGAGGTTTGCCACGGTGTGTGCCATGTCCGTCACCTGGTCATGCAGCAAAGCCTGGATGTAGCTAAACGAGTGCTCCCCCTCATCCTGCCTAATACTGCTCTGCTCACCCCCACTCAGAATCTCCTCAAGTTAACACCAGTGTGCAGTCAGCAATAAGTGCACATGTTGTGACTTGAAGATGTTCCAGAGGCCCAGTGTGAATTGGACAGTCCTCCCCCAAGCATGAGACAACTGTGCCTTTGTATGCTCCCTGGCAGATTTTTATTTTATTTTATTTATTTATTCTGGGATTTATATCCCGCCCTACCCATATGGCCCAGGGCGGCAAAAACAAGTGGCGAACGCCGGAAATAAAACACAAGTTACATTAAAACTTCAATAAATACAAATTAAAAATGGTGCTCTACAGTTCAATTAAAAAGTTCAAGATGGTTGATCTTCATTGGCGGCCGATGATGTCAAAGCCGGAGCGCCAGGGTAGTGTTCCTCTTCAGGGCAGCGTCTCTCCCTACCCAAGGCCAGGTAGATGGTAGATCACGCCACGGTGGTGGTATAGTGGCGGTGGGGGCGGCTCCTACTCAAAAGCCTGGCGGAAGAGCTCCGTCTTGCAGGCCCTGCGGAACTGTACAAGGTCCCGCAGGGCCCGGATCTCCACCGGGAGCTCATTCCACCAGGTAGGAGCCACCACCGAAAAAGCCCTGGCCTTGGTTTGGGCGAGCTTGATGTCCCGGGGGCCTGGAACCTCAAGGAGGTCCAGGCTCCCTGATCGCAGCACTCTTGGGGAGGCAAAGGGAGGGTGCCATAATCCTGGTCAATATCATGCAAGCAGGGATTGTGTGATGGAAAATGCATACTGGATCAGCCTGTGGAACCCAAGGTCCTCAACTATGGGAAAGTGCCTACTATTCCAAGTGATCATCTCACCAATCAAGGAAGTGACCACCTGCTGCCTGCTTCTGCCCACCTGTTGGCACACTAGTGAAAAACAAATCAGTTACAGATGTTTAACATCCATTGTCTACAAGAGATCTGAAGGGCAGACCATCAGAGGGGATCACGGAGCAACTCCCTTCTTGGCTGGCTGGTGGATGCATAGCTACCCCACTAGACCTCCCCCCACTCCAGAAACACTGACTGTAGTGCTTCTTCAAATGTCTTCTGAACCTGTTTGATAGAATCCCTCAACTGATTCTATTCCTACTCATCTGGCACTGGGCATAATGTGGATCCTCTGTGCTTTAAAGATAATTCTGTACCATGGAAATAGTGATGCACCCACTCTGTTTGGCAGCTGCAACCACCAGAGCATTCTCCTCAGAAGGATTTAGGGAAGATACAGCATGATGGAGCCCACTTTGGGCAAGAAGAAATGCACAAAGGGTTGAGATAGCAACTCCTTGTGCACTTCCATCTTTTCCTCTTTTACCAACTCCTGCCTCCCCTCTCTCCCCTGATTTGAGATCTCTGCATGGACCAAAGAAGAGGTGCCAGATGTAGCTCTGCACCCCTTTGCCCTTGAGCTTGAGGCACTGCTGAATCTCATTCCAAGAGGTCACCCCAAAATCGGTTGAGACTGCTCTTGCTGCTGCTGAATCACAACAGCTTCAGGGTGGTCAGTCTAATCACAATGTCCTGCTGCCAACTGCCTCTACAGATGATAATCTGGGAATTTAGCCTCTGTTGCTTCTCTTCGTTGCTGGACTTGCTTGAATTTACTGGTTCACTATTGGTTTCATTTATTTTAACTAGAAGAAGTCAAGTTTTCAGTGCACAAGTGGAGGATAACATTGTGAGGAAACAAAAAAGGAGGGGTACAACTTGGGTTGCTGCCTTAGTCATAGGAGGGCACTTGGCTTGAAACTTCTCAATAGTTCATGATTGGCCCTAGGTCCCATGGCATCCATTTCATAAATTGCCATACTCCTCACATAGCATGGCCACCTATTTGCCCATAGGCCACAATCAAAAGCATTAACCTTGTCAAAGGTCTGACATATATACTAAACAGCACTGGGGATAATTTCCCTATGGAACACCAAGGAAAGATTCCATCTTGCTGAGATAGTCTCCCCAACACAATAATCTAAACAAGGTTTGAACCACTGTTAAATGTTTCCTCATATCTAATCCCAGTCATCCGTATTTTTCCTCAGTAACTGAGCTTCAAAAATAATCATGACATTCATGGGACAGGAGAACCTTCTCACGGATGCAATTCTGTCACCCCACCTGTAGACTTTGACAAATGAAGGCTGGTGTCCTTCCTGTGGAAGGATTATTGGTTCCAAAATCATGTACCCTGAGGAATAATTTTTGAACCAATGATTCTTCAACAGGAAGGACACCAGCCTTTATTTGTCAAAGTCTACTGTGCTTACAATAAAACTATTGACAATGTTATTTTTTTCCTTTGAAAAATTGGGTAGCTCTAATATTTAATTTGGCTGAGGGCAGGTGGGGTGACATCAACAAAGGATTATTTTCAAATGCTGGTTACAAAGTGCATGGGATGGAACCAAATGTTCATATTACTGTTTTGCTCCTTTTGTTGATGGACAGAAGACTATGCCTCATTAAATGCCATCAGTCTTGGAAGTGGTGAGGTTCACATCAAGAGCAGCAGGTGGCTTTTGTTTCCAGGGAAGAAGGTGCTGTTTAACCCTTTCCTTTCTGACTATTTGTCCACACAAAATCACACACATGAACACACAGAGAGAGTTGCTTTTCTCTTTGAGACATAAATGATGTGAGGAGTCAGAGAGATTATAAACATGATTGTGCTAAATTTTAACAAGCTAATTGCTGATATATCTTTGGATTTGGACAGATGGGCAATTTTAAACTTGACTCTATGTGGCAAAGTACATACACGCAAAATGAATATTATACATAGGATTATTTATATTTTCCATGAAATTCATTTCTATATGCTTTGCAGATATATTCACAACATTAATACTTTGTTTCAGAAATTTATGTGGGGTTCCTCGTTGCCTCAAATTTCTTTAAAGAGAATGCAACTTCTATTCAATTTGATTTCCCTGATCTTAGTTTTATATAATCAGGCATACTTGTTAACTTGCACTAATCATTGGGATTGTTCCTTGCAGTTAGACTATGTACTGTTTTGGAGGCTTCTTGTCTGGTGCCCCTCTCTAAGTGGAATGCATTAGAGTCTTCTTGTGATAGCATGGATCCTATTCCTCCTACAGTTTCTGAAACTAGAGAACAATGGTATATAATGGCATGACAATATAAATTTGATCCATTTTCACATGCTAAATTGACATTGTGGGAAAATCCAGATTTAAAAGTTTGGAAGAAATCTTTTTATGGAAGGCTTGGACCCATAAGGGGATTTTTACAATGGACCAATTGATAGATTATGATGATGAATTTTTGTTATTTTTTCCAGCTGAGGTCTAGATATGACTTGTTACCTTCTGTAGAAGGAAAAATTTACAATTGCAACATTTGTTGGTATCTAAATATGGCCCTACAGCATTAACTGTCTCAGAGTCCCCTTTGCTCTAGGAAACTCTAATTGAATCGAGGCTTAAAATGAAATCTACAATCTTTGTTTATAAATATTTATGTTGATGAATAAATATGATATTCACAGTTTCAGGAATGAGTGAAATAAGGAGCTAGATCACCTTATTTTGCTAAAGCAATGGGATATGGTCTTAAAGTCTATACCTGCCATCTCTATCTACCTTAAGTTGAGACTTATTCATCAAAAAAATGTTTAGGATTTACTGGACACCATAGCAACTCCTTAGCAAAGGGTTGAATAAAATGTTTAATTCTTGGTGTTTTAACTCACAGGATTTGTCCCTTAAACATGCTTTGGGCATGTCCAGTCATTCAGTTTTTCTGGGAAGAAATTATTACTCATATTTTTGATTTTTTGTACTTTTAAACTATCTGCCTGTCTCTTGGAGGTAAACCAATGGTCAGTGAATATGAGCCCTCTGTGCCCTTACTATAGCTAAAAAAAACTTGTGTTACAACACTGGAAAGATTTATGCCAATAAAAGGTATTTGTTGTTGTAACACTGGAAAGATATAAGTCCATCTCCAGTGAATAAATGGATAAATGGATTAAGAACCTTAGAATTCTATCAGTATCTGAACACATGACATATAGGTATCAATTGCATATGGACTTATTTTTTGATATTTGAAAACTTTTTATAGAAACTTATCTATAGATTTGCCACCATTGTTGTTACTTTTTTGTCTTTATGAGTATCTTGTTTTTCATTTTTTTCTTTTCTCTTTCTCTATTTTCAAAATCTTATTTAATTGCTGGAGTTTAAGTATTTTCCCCCTTGTCCTTTTTTTTGCTTTTTAAAAATAAATCAATGTTCAAGTTTTACTTGGAATGGGAAGAAAAGTAGCATTGGTGGAATTTGAGTACACAAACAGCTGAGAAGGAAAAGGTTAAAGGTTCCCCCAGTTCTATGTTAAACCCGCCCCATTCCACTTCAGATGAAACAATCCTCCCATATGTTGCCACGTCTTTCATTTTGGACTTATTCTTAGGGTGCCAAGTCTTTCGTAACGAGAATCTCTTATGTAAACTACTGCACATATATATATGGGAGTATCTACACCTGGAAAACTCTATGCAGTAAGAGAACATCGTCCTCAACTGAACACCAGTCATTACATCACTGTTTCCTCTGTGACCAGAATGGGTGTCTTTGTCCTTGCTGTGGCACTTCTGTGTGTCTCAGGTGAGTCCCTCCTAAAAGAAGGTCTTCAGGCTGAAATCCTAAGAATACTTTCCTAGGAGCAAACCCCACTGAATCAAATGTGGCTTACTTCTGAGTGCATTTGATTCTTACAATGCTATATCTAATATTGACACACAAATCTCTTTGCAATCTTTTAGCAGCATCTATAAGATGGATAGGGAGACCAGAAGTAAAGGACAATATTCTTATATGTATAATCAGCATTGTACCGTGGTTACAGTGTCAGATTGTTCTGGGATAATCAGGTTTGCTGTGCCATGGAAGCTCACTGGATGACTTTAAGCCCATCACTCTCTCTCAGCCTAACTTATATCATAACACTGTTGTGAGGATAAGATGGAGGCAGTAGGTTTATGTAAATCGCTTTGGGTTCCTGCTGGCTAGGAAAAATGAGGTATACATTTCTAAACAAACTCACTTACAAAGAAATAGTTGTTGAGTAAATGAGTGTGTTTAGGCAAGAGCTGCTTGTTGTGCAAGAGATAAACTTGGAATGTGTTGAAATCTTTTGTTCTACTCAACTAATCCCCTTTGGTCACCCTAAGTGCGGCCAATAAGAAGATAATGACCCTGTTTATAGGTACAGATTAATAATGACAAGAAATGCTGATGTCCACATATAAAGTCCTGCTCATTTTCTCTTCTGGAAACACATAACCAGAACTGTTCAAATATTATCTCACTGTACTATATACTGAATCAGCCCAACTGCCTTATACTACAAAGAGCTAATAAGACTGAGCAATCATTCTGAATTCATGTTAGAGCATCTTATGATTTGTGTTTCTGTTATAACATATAATCAGTTCAGAAAAGTTGTTTTGAGTTACAGTATTTGGAAGGAATAAACAATTGTGCACTCCCTTATTTCACAGATTAATTATTTGAATTCAATGTGTCTTTAAGATGTGTCTTCTTCTTTCTTTTTTTTTTGTCTTTCAGGAGTTTTCAGTCAGTTAGAAGTACCAAAAGGAGAACCAGAAAAAGTAAGTGCTGCCTTTTCTGCTTTCCCCAGCAAGTTGTAAAAATACAAATTATGTGTAACAATAAATAACCTGTTGGCAGAGATAGAGCATGATTCACAGCCATTCTTTTGGGTTCCCAGAGGCTGGAAACTCGGTGACTAACCTATCTCTGCTCAGTGTTGCTTCCCGTTCCCCTTCCTTCCAGTTGGTACCAAAAACAAACTAAGGGTCCGGTCACACGCAGAATTAGCTGTGTGATAGGGACGAATGCTGGGCAGATTTTACGGGCACAATTGGGAACATCTGGCAAGCGTCCCGCACCCATCGGCAACCCGTATCGCCTGGCCAAAGATACGGAGTTAAACGATACCGGGGAAGTGCACTATTTTCCGGAAAACACGGGGCACGGGCAGGCGTCAGATCATGCAAGCGCTGGTATCTCGTCGCATCCGGTGGTATGCGCACAAACGCAGAACTGCGTATGCGCACAAATGCGTACTGCTGAACTGCCTCACCCTTCTTTACCACGCTTCACCATCAACGTGTGATCAAGGCTGAGGGCATGTGCACGGAGCCTCAGGGAAAACGCCTGATCGCGATACTGCACTTCCTTTTGCTCCAGAGCAAAAAGCCTCGCTTCACCCCCAGATTATCTCACTGGTGTGACCGGGACACAGGTAGTAACCAGCAGCAGCAGCATATCAGAGAGCATAGAGCAGAAAGCATATCCAGCATTCTGTACCTGCAATGCTGTTTAGAGGCTCCACCAAGTTGCCACACCACCTGCTTCACCCTACAAACTCAGGGACTTTTGTAGCTTTGAACTACTGCACTCCAGGGATGGTGAGCTTACCTGCTGCTCCTCCCAATTACGATAACTCAGATAACAAGACCAAATAGGTGGTGCATTTAAAGAGATCAGGCTTAAAACATTCAAAATACAAGAATATTTAATAAACCAAAATAAAAAAAGTATATGTGGTCTGTTCAAATTTCAAGGTGATCAAAGATCCAAAGAAAGGGTGAAAATATGCAGTCCCCCCCACCCTACAGTAGATACTTATATCACTAACAATGTTTAATTAGGATAGGCTAGTGTTTCTTGAAGTTGCAGTAAATTAGAACTGAGACTTCTCCCCCTTGTCCCTTGCTGCATAGGCGAGATAGAGTCCCTAAGTGAAGATTTAGTCCTACATGCAGGGCCGGCTCTCCCACTAGGCAAGCTAGGCACTCGCCTAGAGCACACCGGCCCTCAGGGGCGCCAAACTGCGCCCGCCTCCCCCAAAGGGATGCGTCCCGCTTGGCCTTGCCTTCCCTGGCCAGCCACGCAGACGCATCCCTTTGGGGGGGCGCCCTCCTCCCGCGACAGTCCCATCTGGCCCCAGCAGGCAGGTAGGGCAGAGGGGCGCCCCCTGCCCGCCTTCTCCTCTCTCACCTCCGGGGCGGGGCAGCAGCGCTTCTCCCTCCACTCTCTCCTTCCCTCGGCCCAACAGGTGAAGGCGTGAGGCATAACGGAGTGAGCTCCCGTCTCTAGTTCCAGCTCCTGCCAACCTAGCAGTTCAAAAGCAGTTCCGTGCACCCTGGTGCTTAGCAGGGCCGACTCACTCACTAGGCGGTCGCCTACAGCAGGATGGCCCTTAGGGGCGCCAAACTGAACCCGGCCCCATACTCTGGGAGTTTCTTGATTATTTGTGTTTTTCATTCTTCCTAAAATGCATTTATTTTTGGAAATTGGTGGGCGCAGGGGGGGGGCGCCAGAAGGGATGAAAGAGTGAAAGAGTGAGAGTGAAAGAGTGAGAGATCATTCTACCGAAAAAGACACTTTCTGGCCATTTGGCTGTCCGTGATTCTATCATCTGAGGTGTGATATTCTAGCAAGTTGTGAGATGTTAAACCCTTTGTTTCCCCCTGGATTTCTATTTGCATAACTAAGAGCATGAGTGCTCTGTGCTTGGGAGATGGGTACATCATTCCTAGTACTTGTCCTCTGTGCTAGCTAAAGATTTGCAGAGGGCTCCTGTGATGTGGATACAGTGTAACCCAGTGGTTGAATTCCAGGATGGGGGGGTGTTTCTCCACAGTGTCCACCAAATATCAGTTCACCAAATCAGGGAAAGGCCAGTGTGCTCAGTTTCTAGATAAATCAGGTATGTCCTCCCAGGAATTTTCCTCTGCAACTAGCGCAAATGACATTTGTTGAAGCAGGGCCAGTGTCAGCATACCCTGAGGTAGGGCAGCTGCCAGGACTTCTGGTGGGGCCCACTGCTGCTAACCTCCCCCACTTTCCCTGCCACCTCTTTGTATCAGTGTCCCAACTACTCAGAGTCATCAAAGAAGAGTGTGTAGGTGGTGCACAGGGATGGCATTCCTGGTGGCAATGGCAGCTGCATACACTGGACAGCGCTGTCAGGGACAGGATGCACAGATGGTGCAGATAACTGAGCATGGGCACTGGGACAACTTGCAAATGGGAGAAGAACACCAAGGTTAGTGGGGGGGATGCACATGTCAGGGGTTCAAAGGAAGGCATTAAGTGGGGCCTTGGTGGTAGTCAGATGAGGACCCCTGGTTAGTCAGATGAGGGCCCCTCAAAACCTGAAGCTGGCCCTGTATGGAAGAGCACAGTAGTTCATATTCAGTTCAGTGACACACATACAGGATTGTGCTTGATATTTGTAAGGTTGGCTAGGTCTTGAATAAATATTTTAAAAGAAAAAAGATTTCTGTAGGGATATACTTCAACTACAGCCAGTGTGGTGTAGTGGCTAAGAGTGCTGAACTAGTCTCTAAGAGATCCAGATTGGACTTCCCACCCATGCCATGGAAGCTCACTAGGTGATCTTGGGCCAATTGCACTCTCTCAACCTAACTTACCTCACGGAGTTGTTGTGAGGATAAAATGGAGGAGAGGAGAATGATGGAAGCCACTTTGGGTTCCCAGGGTGAGAAAGTCAGGCTATACATGAATTCAGGGGTCTTTTCGTAGAAAAAGAGCTGCAGGAGCTCATTAGCATATGGTATGCTAATTAGTTACTAGGCTATTAGCATATGCCATGCCCCCTGACATCACCGGAAGTGATGTCAGAAGGGGAAGCAAAAGTGGGGAGGCAACTCAATTTAAACATTATAACTTTGTAACTGTTCAAAAATATAACAAGTATTGATAATATGGATTTTTAGGGATTATCTCCTTTTCTGTTAAATAGTTCACTTCAGGAAACCAGAAAGCATAAAATGTTTGTTGATCATTGTGCAAATTAGGCTCTGTTGATTGGCACATAATCTTACTTAATACGAAGTGTTTCCATAACTTGTTTTGCCACATTTGAAGAGTAGGACTTGATTTTTCTCTCCAATTATTTGCTATTAAAATTTGTGCAATCGCTAAAAGATAAGAGATTAATTTTGTTTTATTTGTATTTTCTCCAGAACTCAGGAAATGTGAGAGACCTGATTCCGGTATGTTAGTCCCTGTAATTATGAATATATTAGATTGATTTTAAATAAAAAAACTTAAAAGATAAAAGAGATCCAGTTTGATGTAGTGGTTAGGCATGCCGACTTTAATCTGGCCGCACCAGGTTTGTTTTCCCACTTCTCCACCTGCAACTGCTGTCGTGACCTTGGGTCAGTCACAAGTTCTTTCAGAGCTGTTATCTCAAGAGCAGTTCTCAAAAGGGCCCCGCCTACCTCACTGGGTGTCTATTGTGGGGAGGGAAGGGGAAAAGAGATTTGTAAACTGCTCTGAGAGTCCTTCAGGTATAAATCAAATCTCTTCTCCTTTTTCTAAACAGAAGTGATCTTTGGCTGGGATGCAAGGATTTTCCTTGAAATAAACTTCTGACTTCTCTTCAGTCAGAGAGTTGTAACCTAGAGAGCCTGGGTATCCAAGAAAGTAGACATCTCAGTATAGCCCTGTGATTTTGTGGGGAATGTCCTGCTTTGGGACAGGCAAAGAGACATTTTGTTTCCATGAGCCTCTTTTAAAACGAACGATTCACTTAAAGGGGGGTTCACCTGCTACAGTACAATCATGTACATAGCCCATCTTCCTTGTGTGAGAGAAAGGAGAATTTTGAAGACAAGGGTAGCTTCAGAGTATGATCTTTTTACTTTATGTATGCACTAGAAATAGCTGGAATCAAGGGTGGTACAATTATGTAGCAGATATCTGGGTACTATATTTATCTTCTTTTACAGCTTGATTGTAGTCAGATTCCGACTTCTATGGAGAGACCGGAGAAGCTTGAATGCCCATCCATTCCTCATCCAGTCTGTGGCACAGATGATCAAGAATATGTAAATGAATGCATGATTTGTCAACATAATGTGTAAGTACTGCAGATATAGGTATCTTTTTGGCAATAGACAATATTAATCATATCTCATTATATCCAGTCATTACCTCACAACATCAGGGTTGGGGTTTTTTTTAGTAATCTCAGATGTCTTTCTTCATCACATTTGGATCCTAAGTTTTTACCATGGAACTCAAGGTGGTTTGCATGGGTATCCAATGGTCTAGGTATAGTGATTGACCCAAATTACCTTCTAAGCTTCAGTGAGGATCTGTATCCAGGTTTACTTAAGCTATCACTTAGTCTACTATACTACACTAAGGGCAATCTGTTAATTTTCCCTTCATATGTATATATGTGTGTGTGCATGTGTGCATACATATGCACAGTGGAATAGAGTCCCAACGGCAGAAGGCATCAAGAAATGTAATAATAATGAGGCACTCATAACCCCCCCCCAACAACATTGGGGTAAAGGTAGTAGAAGTTTATCACTTGAAACTTTCAAGGCTCAGAAGCTCAAAAGAGGTCGTTTTATCACCCAGAATATAAGGAGTTATTTACTATGGTTCCTAACTCTTCTTTCATTCTCCCTCCTACCCAGAGACCACAAGACAAATGTTGGCCGGAAACATGATGGGCCGTGCAAGAAAGAGAACAAAAATGCGGTAAGGAGACTAAGAATTTTATGGTTAGAAAATAATAGTGGGATCCTCATCCTCTCTAAGAACATTGAAGTCAAGGGTGCTTCTCTAAGAACATTGAAGTCGGGGGGGCATGGCATCATGCGAGACGGAATGGACACCTGAGCCCAAAGCTCTTCCCCAGCTTATATAAATCAATATATATATATATAATCAACAAAAATCTGCAAAACAAACATTGAAAAAATCAGCAGAGAGAGATGTGACTGTCTAAAAATCATCAAGCTGCAGAAATTCGGTCGGTAAAACTGTTTTTTCTGAGATTTATCCAATGGCGAATTTGCTGGGGCAGGAGTCGCAGCCAATCTAAAATGGCGGACAAGAACATAGAGGATCAAGAGATCCTCACCCCTCTCTCAAAGCTTGATTTAATGGAGATGGAGGACAGGGTGCTATTAAAAATGGGATCTTTGCTTATACCTGTTGTCATAACCCCGCCCTATCGCCTCTGTGCTATCACCTTCACTTGGGGCTGCCTTAGAGACTCCGGGCTGTGTTTCCTTAATTTGGGTCATTTCAACCAGCACAGTAGTGATAAGTAAAAGATATTGCCTGCTTATATGCTAATAGTTTGACCGATTTCGAAGGCTTGATGGATGGGCCAGTGACTCAATCCAATTATATATATATATATATTTATTACAAAGACAACACACAGATTAAAAACAAACTGGTAAGAGAAAAGAGGAGTGCACAATGCACAAACACAAACAAAGAAAACCTAACTATCTAAGTTGGCTCGCAGCAGCAATGCTGAAGAAGCTGGGCTGATGGTAGGAAATAGCCGTCCCTCCTTCTGGTTTAACGGCCCTATGCCAAGGTTGCCGTTCATCTTATCCAACATGGTGCTTGAAGGGTGCTAGAATTCTTCTGCAAAAATCCCGGCCTCTCACTCCAGCATTTCTTTGGATAGATGCATGTAGTTCCTACCCTCCATACTTAGCTTCTGACTCTTGGCTTCTGGCTGGATCTGGATGCCTTTTTGCTACCTGCTTGTTGTTGTTCAGTCGCACAGTCGAGTCCGACTCTTCGCGACCCCATGGATCATCTCCCGCCAGGCCCTCCTGTCTTCCGCCGTCCTCTGAAGTTGGCTCAATTTCATGTTCGTTGCATCGATGACACTGTCTAACCATCTCATCCTTTGCCGTCCCCGTCTTCTTTGACCTTGAATCTTTCCCAGCATCAGGGTCTTGTCCAGGGAGTGCTCCCTTCTCATTTGGTGGCCAAAGTATTTGAGCTTCAGTTTCATTATCTGGCCTTCCAGGGAACAGTCAGGGTTGATTTCTTTTAGGATTGACTGATTTGATCTTTTTGCAGTCCAAGGGACTCTCAAGAGTCTTCTCCAGCACCATAGTTCAAAAGAATCTATTCTTCGGCGCTCGGCCTTCCTTATAGTCCAACTCTCGCAGCCATACATGACTACTGGGAATACCATTGCTTTGACCATGCGGACTTTTGTTGGCAGGGTGATGTCTCTACTTTTTATCATGCTGTTTAGGTTCGCCATCACTTTCCTCCCAAGGAGCAGGCATCTTTTAATTTCATGGCTGCAGTCACAGTCTGCGGTGATCTGGGATCCCAGGAACGTGAAGTCTGTCACTACTTCCACGACTTCCCCTTCTATTTGCCAAGGAGTGATGGGGCTGGATGCCATGATCTTAGTTTTTTTGATGTTGAGCTTCAAGCCCACTTTTGCGCTCTCCTCTTTTACTCTGAGCAAGAGGCTCTTTAGGTCCTCTTCACTTTCAGCCATTAGAGTGGTATCATCTGCATATCTGAGGTTGTTGATCTTTTCCCCAGCAATCTTAATTCCCGCTTGTGATTCATCCAGGCCAGCATTTCGCATGATGTACTCTGCATATATATTAAATAAGCAAGGTGACAATACCTGCTTGCTTCCTACTTAATAGCAGCTCAGCTGTCAAGCAATTACTACTCTAATTAGTGGTTTGCACGTGGTGATCTAGAACTTCGGCTGTCAAGATTTTCCTTAGTCATGCTGAGGTTTGACAATACCCAGGTGCACCAAGTTGTATCAGCTAATGCTTGTTAACAGGTGGTTGATATCAGACTAACCTGCTTTCCTCATGTTATTCAGCTAAAACTTACTATCTAACTAACTAATGCAAATACTTACATGTCTGAGAGACTTGTTTCTTGACACCTGTTCAAGAGCAACTAATAGAAATAAAGAAAAACATAATTGAGATTCACAAAAAAGTGGAGTGCGCAATGACTCTGGCTGAAACAATACAGGAAGAAACGCACATTTTGCAAACTCAAAATGTAACTATGCAACATAAAATCCTCTCTCTTGGAATGGAAATGTGTAAGAACAACATTAAATTTAGAGGATTTCTGGAACAACTTAATACAAATGAGGAACTTTCTGACTTTATGGCAAACTGGCTAGCAATTATCCTTAATCTAGAGAAGGATGTAGTACCAGTGATTGTAAAGGCCTATTGCATTGGTTCTCCAAGAAACACCCAAACGAAAGGTCCAAGAAATATTGTAATAATAGCTTTAGACTATAGAGTAAGGAAAGGAATATTAAGAACACTTGATTTTGAAGGACATAAAACTAAAGCATTCCCAGACTTACCTTCAGAGGCCATAAGTAAAAGGAGAGAGCTAAAGCCCACCACTATGAAACTACAAGAGGCTAAAGTTAAATACAATTGGATTTGTCCAGCAACTCTACAAGTTATACATAAAGGTGAATGTCTGCAAGCAACAAGCCCTGCAGCTGGTCTGAGTATTACTGAAACTAGGTTTAAAAAACCCAGATGAAGCCGACAAGAGAAACTCAAAACGGAAGTTGTAATTTAACACAACTCCATCCAAGGAAAGTAAAATTCTAGTATCTCATGCAAGAACAAACACAGAACGTTGATTTTTGATATTATAAATATATTAGGTTATGTTATCTTAAGCAATAGAACGTTTTGCAGCACATTAATAGTAAGATGTTTTGTGTATAAATAATACTACAGAATTAGTTATAGTGGTAGGTTGGGGACGAAGGGGAAAGCATATCTGAGACTCTTGGAAGAAGGTACCTTAAGAGGGTTAGGATTTTAATTCTGATTTCCTGCTTTTGATTGCAAAACCTGCAGGTATTAAGGTTAGTTGTTAGATAGGAACAGGTTAGGTAAGCTTGTAGTTAAGGAAGTTATTTTAGAGTTTAGTTTTCTAATTTTAATTTAAATTACTTAATACCAAGTAAGAATAATTTTAGGAACAAGAATAGTGATAAATAATACCAGTTTGGTGTAGTGGTTAAGTGTGCGAACTCTAATCTGGGAGAACCGGGTTTGATTCCCCACTCCTCCACTTGCACCTGGCTGGATTACCTTGGGCAAGCCGTGGTTCTGATAAGAGCAGTTCTTGAAAAAAGAGCAGTTTCTGTCAAGAGCTCTCTCAGCCCCACCTACCTCACAGGGTGTCTGTTGTGGGGAGGGGAAGGGAAAGGAGTTTGTAAGCCCATCTGAGACACCTTTGGGTAGTGAACGGCAGGGTATAAATCCAATATCCTCTTCTTCGTCTACAAAGAAATAGATATTATAGATAGCTCGCACCTTGTTTAATAAGAATGGAGAGTAGTGTTTTCATTAAAAGTTAATATTGTAACTGACTTCTTACTAAAGAGCTATTTTTTCCTCATTGTTGTATCTATATATCTAATACCGAGGTCCCCCCGTGCGTGCGGATACTTAAATCCGCGCATCGGGGGGACCTGGGGGGGAGGGAGATGCTTGTTGCACAAAAATCCTAAATCCTGGGGGGGAAACGGGGGGATGTTTAAATCCCCCCGAAACTTACAGAGCGTCCCCTGCGCATGCGCAGGGAACGCTCTGCAAGCAGCGAGGGCCGCGCGGCAAGCTGCACGACCCTCGCTTCGGGGCTGGGGGGGAACCAGCAGCCTCAGCCCTCACCCACCCTCCTTTTCTGCCTCAGCCTGCCGCCCCCCGCTCCTCCACCTGAAGCGGAGTCAAAGAACCTACCCCCTCCGCAGCGCCGACCACTCGGGAGTCCAGAAGCCGGCCCCTTATGCCATTCGCATGGCACAGCCTCCCCGGCGGCCAGCTGGTGGACGGGGGCATCCGGAGGGCGCGAGGCTCTGCCAGCTGCATCCAGGAATTGAAGCTCCGGCCGGCCCCGCCCCCGCCCCGGCCCTTCTCGGCAAGCCGGGAAATGACATAGGCCGGGACGGGACACAGGGCAGAAGCGTTGCTGAAGACCGTTCCTCAGGCCCCTCTGCAGCAGCGAGTGCAGGTCCACCGTGCTTCTGAGCCCAAGCAGAGAGCGGCCGAGTGGAGGGGGGCAATTTTCTGATGCTATTTTGGGGGTGTCAGACACAAAATTTCATCCATGCTGGCTCTACTTCAGTTGTGCAGAAGAATATTTCATGTTACCTTACAAAGTGGTCACAAAGGGCCATTTAACTTCATCAAAATTTTTAGGTGTGCACTTAAGATGTCTACTGTGCATGCAGAACTCTAAAGTATACATGCAACATATATGTCTTTCATGCAAATATATGCCAATGTGCAGCAGTGACTGTCTATAAGTCCACATCATGCTCACTCCTTGGAAACTGTGGATTTGCCGCTGCATAAAGTGGGAAGTGATCCTACTGCCTCTTAGAAAGGGGCAGACCACTCCCAATAGTTTCAGTAAGGGATTGGAACACCTTCCCTATGAGGAAACACTGAAGAGTCTAGAACTTTTCAGTTTAGAAAAGAGATGACTCAGGGGAGACATCATAGAGATGTATGCAGGGGGATATGATAGAGGTTTATGAAACTATGCATGGAGTGCACGGAGTTGACAAAGATAAATTTTCCTCAATTCTTTGAATGTTAACGTTCCAAAGTAATGTTGTACTGTTCTGATATTTCTATTTTGTTGTATTAAAATAATAAAATATATTTGGGGGAAAAAGAACATTGAATATATTT